CGTTTAGACAGCACACAGACGGGCTTCCCTGCGTGTTGCTCTGTGTGTGCTCTGTGTTCGCTCTGTGTGTGCGCTGTGTGTGGTGCTGTGTGCTCTGTGTGTGTGTTGCTCTGTGTGCTGTGTGTGTGTGTGCTCTATGTGTGTGTGCTCTGTGTGTGCTGTGTGCTGTGTGCTCTGTGTGTGTGTGTGCTCTGTGTGTGCTCTGTGTGCTGTGTGTGTGTGCTGTGTGTTGTGGCGTGTGTGTGTGCTCTGTGGTGTGCTCTGTTGCTCTGTGTGTGTGCTCTGTGTGTTGTAGCTGGTGTTGTGCTCTGTGTGGGTGTCTCTGTGTGCTGTGTGTGTGTGCTCTTGTGTGTTGCTCTGTGTGCTGTGTGTGTGTGCTCTGTGTGTGTGCTCTGTGTGTGTGCTCTGTGTGCTCTGGTGTGTGTGTGTGCTCTGGTGTGTGCTCTGTGTGCTGGGTGTGTGTGCTGTGTGTTGGTGCTGTGTGTGTGTGCTCTGTGTGTGCTCTGTGTGCTGTGTGTGTGCTCTGTGTGTGTGTGCTCTGTGTGTGTGCTCTGTGTGCTGTGTGTGTGTGCTCTGTGTGTGTGCTCTGTGTGCTGTGTGTGTGTGCTCTGTGTGTGTGCTCTGTGTGTGTGCTCTGTGTGCTCTGTGTGTGTGTGCTCTGTGTGCTGTGTGTGTGTGCTCTGTGTGTGTGCTGTGTGTGCTCTGTGTGTGTGTGCTCTGTGTGTGCTCTGTGTGCTGTGTGTGTGCTCTCTCTGTTGTGTGTGCTCTCTCTGTTGTGTGTGCTCTGTGTGTGTGCTGTGTGTGTGCTCTCTGTGTGTGTGCTCTGTGTGTGTGTGTGCTCTGTGTGTGTGCTATGTGTGTATATGTGTGTGTGTGCTGTGTGTGTGCTCTGTGTGTGTGCTCTGTGTGTGTGCTCTGTGTGTGTGTGCTGTGTGTGTGCTCTCTGTGTGTGCTCTGTGTGTGTGTGTGCTCTGTGTGTGTATGTGTGTGTGTGCTCTGTGTGTGTGTGGCTGTCGGGGGCTGTTCTGACAGAGGAGTGGGAAGAGGAAGAAGCCTGCGAATGCCGGGCTGGAGACCCTGGCTGTGCCCGAGCAGGGCAGAGCCCGTGAGACTCAGGCCGTGGACCCTCCCACCCGGGTCTGGAGGGCAGCTGGGCCAGGAGGGAGCTGGGGGGGCTTTGTTTCCTTGGCTTTCGCGGTAGAAGGCGGCACCACGATGACTGGCGGCTCACTCGCTGCTGCAGTGGCGTGTGCCTGCTTGGGCTGGAGCTCCCTGCAGACGTTTCAGGAAATAAATCTGGGAACCTTCTGTGATTCTTGCAGTTGACTTTGAGAAAGAGAACGATCCTACTTGTATTTACTTTATTCTCTTATTGTAAAGGTAACATGTTCTTTTTTGGTACAACCAGAAAGCACGAAACTGCCGGTCCTCGTAACCCTGTCACTTGGATCCCACCACGGCGTGCTTTCTGGTTCTCACCCTCCCAGACTTTTTTCTGATGCATACGCGGATAGGAAGATATAAAAAATCCGTGTTCAAATGGAAATGCAGTCACGAAACAATAGATAGCGGGGGGAGTCTGCGCCCATTAACTTAGGCAGGCGCGTTGTGTTTAGTGCCCGTGCTGCGCAGACTTGGCGAGCCGTTAATCTATAAACCCATCTGCTATTAATGGGCATTAGGTTGTTTCCATTTTCTCCTCTTGTAAACAGTGCAGAAGATGTCTCCATCCATATGCATTGTTGAGTGTAAAGTTCCAGAGAAGCCTAAGGATGTTCTGCCAGATTTTTTTTTTTAAACATCTACTTATTTATTTGAAAGAGTTAGAGAGAGGGAGTGACATAGAGAGCTTAGATTCCTTGGTTCTCTCCCCAGAGGCTAGACGGGCCAAGGCTGGGCCAGGCCGGAGCCAGGAGCCAGGAGCTCCATCCAGGTCTCCCACGTGGGCACCAGGGGTCCTAGCACTGGGCCGTCTGCTGCTGCTTTTCTAGGCCTTTAGCAGAGAGCTGGACCAGAAGCAGAGCAGCTGAGACACAAACTGGTGCCCACGTGGGATGCTGGCGTCGCGGGCGGAGGCTTATCCCACTGTGCCACTGTGCCAGTGCCAGACTGTTTTTTTATGCATAAGTGCAGCTGGGGGCCGGCACGGTGGCGTAGCTGGTAAAGCCACAGCCTGCAGAGCTGGCATCCCATATAGACGCCGGTTTGAGTCCTGGCTGCTCCACTTCTGATCCAGCTCCCTGCTAACATGCCTGGGAAAGCAGTGGAGGATGGACCAAGTGCTTGGGCCCCTGCACCCACGTGGGAGACCCAGGGGAAGCTCCTGGCTCCTGCCTTCAGATCAGTGCAGCTCTGGCCATTGTGGCCACCTGGAGAGTGAACCAGCAGATGGAAGACCTCTCTCCCCCCTCCGCCTCTGCCTCTGCCTCTCTGTAACTCTGCCTTTCAAATAAATGAATAAATCTTAAAAAAAATGAAGACGTGCAGCTGGTTCTGGTCCTGCCCCTTGTCCCTCCCTTGCCTATTTGACAAGTGGAAAAAAATGTGAACTTGTTTTTCTGACTTTTGAAGTCGCCAGTGAGTTTGGGCAGTTTTTCGTATGTTTATTAGATTCTGTTTGAGTTCACTCCAGTGAGCTTCCTGCCTGTAGCGGCACTCTGCAACCCTGGTGAATATAAGCTTCCAATTGATTCTTTTTTAAAGATTTATTTATTTATTTGAAAATCAGGGTTACACAGAGAGAGGAGCAGCAGCAGCAGCAGCAGCAGAGAGAGAGAGAGAGAGAGAGAGAGAGAGAGAGAGAGAGAGACAGAGATCCTCCATCCGCTGGTTCACTCCCCAGTTGGTCATAATGGCTGGAGCCATGCAGATCCAAAGCCAGGAGCCAGGAGCTTCCTCCAGGCCTCCCACGTGGGTGCAAGGGCCCAAGGACTTGGGTCATCTTCCACTGCTTTCCCAGGCCACAGCAGAGAAGAAGAAGCTGGGCCCTAAACCGGCACTCGTATGGGACGCCGGCGCTGCAGGAGGTGGCTTTACCCACTTTGCCACAGCGCCGGCCCCCAGCCCCCAGCCCCCTATTGATTCTAACGGGTTACTCCCGTGTTACTAAAATTGACCTGTATTTCTTAGGTGTGTTAATAGTAGATTTTCTCCACTTGCTTTTCTTTGACTAATACTTGTATGTTTTTTAGCCAAATAAAAATCAGATATTCACATTGTCAGGCCTGCCGACATCTCCGCGACGCCTGGCCGCGTTGTCTTCCTCGGAACGGACTTCTCAGTGCAGAGTCTGTGCCATGGAAGAGTCGCCCCATCGTCGCCCGCTGCCTTCACGGCTGCGTGTTCCACCCTCCCCGGGACTCACCCTAGCGCGGGAGCAGGCAGGGGGCTGACTGTCTCCTAAGAGGCTCATCCGGGGATTTCAGGGGAAGTCAAGCAGCGTCATGTCCTCGCGGGCCTTAATTTTCTCCAGACAAGCGAGGGTTAAAGGAAGCACCCGCAAAGGTGGCTGTGGCGCTGGTGGGCTCATTCCGCTCTGTTTTCCAGAGCTCGCAGGGGTGGAGCAGCCGACCAAGGACCCCCCGGCGGAGCACCGGCGCGGCTCGGCACCCACCGAGGCCGACTGGAGTGACTGCTCCTTAGAGGATATCGAGAGGACCTTCTGCCAAGAGGTGAGGCCGTCCCCGAAGCCAGGCGGCGTAAGGGAGGCGCACACAACCCGGCGCGGGGGAGGCCCCGGGGGCCCTGCCCAGCTCTCCTTACCCAGACACCACCTCGCCTCCTGGCGGTAGCCTCGGTGCCGGGAGGCTGGTGCTTCTGCGTCCCTTGTGTGGGCCACACGCTGGCTCTGGTGGCGGCACAGCAGACTTCCCTCGCGACGTGATGCAGCTTCACCGGGCGGCGTGGCCTGTCCTGTCTCGTGGGCCGGGAGGCTGGTTAGTCATGCCTGCTCTCCCTGCGTCTGGAGGTACATGTGTTGCAATACTGGTCTTCCCTGTCGCGTGTGAAGTGTTTTACAAAGGAATTCAGACATTGTGGCGCTACTGCACTGGATACACAAGTTGATTTAGTGAGAATGGTGGAGAATTGACCAGTCTTTGTATATAAATCAAGCATTTTAAACAAAGATTTCTTCATTTGAAAGGCAGAGTTACCGAGAGAGAGGAGGAGAAATAGAGAAATCTCCACCGGCTGGTTCACTCCCTGTAACGGCGAGGGCTGGGCCACTGCGAAGCCGGGAGCCTGGATCTTCTGGGGGCGCACGCACTCGGGCCGGCTCCCACTGCTCTCCCAGGCGCATTAGCAGGGAGCTGGATTGGAAGTGGGGCAGCTGGGCCTGGACCCGCTCTGCCTGTGTGGAGGCTTGTCTCGCCACGGCGGAGTGAATTCTGTACGCCTCAACTATCACATTTAAAAACAATATGGTGGTAGGCCGGTGCCGCGGCTCACTAGGCTAATCCTCCACCTAGCGGCGCCAGCACACCGAGTTCTAGTCCCAGTCGGGGCGCTGGATTCTGTCGCGGTTGCCCCTCTTCCAGGCCAGCTCTCTGCTGTGGCCCGGGAGGGCAGTGGAGGATGGCCCAGGTGCTTGGGCCCTGCACCCCATAGGAGACCAGGAGAAGCACCTGGCTCCTGCCATCGGATCAGCACGGTGCGCCTGTCGCAGCGCACTGGCCACGGTGGCCATTGGATGGTGAACCAACGGCAAAGGAAGACCTTTCTCTCTGTCTCTCTCTCTCTCTCACTGTCCACTCTGCCTGTCAAAAAAAACCAAAAAAAACAAAAAAAAAATATGGCAGACTATTTCTAATCTTGGGGTTGAAAAGGTCTTTTAAGCATGAAATGAAAGCCCCGAAGCCCCAAGGAGCCCGATCGGTGTGGCTGTGTGAACGTGGGAGAAGATTCTGCACAGCAGAACCGTGAAAGCGTGAGACAGACGGGCGGAACAGGCGCGACGTGGCCGCCCCCGGGGAGAGCGACGCGCGTGCCGCTGCGTGGGGCGGCCGCTCCTGGACCGGACTCTGCAGACGGAGTCCCACCTGGGCTCCCAGTCCGGCCTCTGCAGACGCACACTCTGGGAGGCCGCCGTGACGGCACGAGCACCTGGTTCCCTGCCACTCGTGGGGGGGCCCTGGGTGGAGCTCCTGGCTTCTGGCTTGGGCCTGGCCCTGCCCCAGCCTCGTGGGCTTCTGGAGAGTGAAGAGTACATAGAAGATCTCTCTCTCTCTCTCTCTCTCTCTCTCCCCCTCTCTCTCTCCCCCTCTCTCTCTCTCTCTCTCACTGTCTCTCTCTGTCTCTTGCTCTCTCTCCCTCTCTCTCTGTCTCTTGCTCTCTCTCCCTCTCTCTCTGTCTCTTGCTCTCTCTCCCTCTCTCTCTGTCTCTTGCTCTGCCTTTCAACTGAATACATACTGTTCTTAATAGACATAGAACAAATTATTAATATACAATATTCAGCAGAAAACTGTTGATAAAGAAAAAACTAGCAGAGCTGGTGTTGCCACAGGGTATTAGAGAGGAGAACACTTTACTGTCTGTTGGTAAACGGGTTAAAAGTTGCTTTGTTTGGTCGTAATTGTTAATGACTTCATTGTTTTCATGAAGACATAACCATTGCAGAAATGCCTGGCTATTAAAAAAGATGTAAGCAATTCTGAAAAGTACAAAGAAAAAAGTAATAAATTATTCATCATCCACCACCCAGCAATAATCAAACGGCAGCACTGGAGTACTTAATTCTAGGCCTTTATTTACCCGTAGAAGGGTGGCTGCATCCACGGGTGGGCGGATACATGGACAGAGATAATTTTATAAGGACAGGATCAAGTCTTTTGAAGAAATAAAACACGGAGTTTAGATTGCTTTGAATTTGCCAGGAGAAGAGGAAGTGCCCCCCCCCCCCCCCCGCATGCTCGGGTGGGGCTGGCGCGGTGTCGGGAGGCGGGCACTCTTTCCGGCTGGCCTGGCCCGGGTTTGAGTGAGCACACCGAGGCGCAGAGCGGCGGAGCCGGAGCCTCGTCTGAGCAGGCCGGGTCACTGGAGCGCCCCGAGTCCTCGCTCAGGCCCGTGAGAGCGGGGCGGGAGGCGGAAGCCGGCTCTGAACCTCCTGGGAATGGCTTCCCCACAGCCGTGCTGGCCCCCCGAGCCGCTGTGAGACGGAGGCAGCTCTGGCCGGCCCCCTGGAGCGGCGGGAATGGGGACGTCTTGAAGGCTCCCACACACGCTGGCCAGCACTTGGGTTTGCCCCGGCCGACCTCCCGCCTCGCCCTGCGCTGTGTGTGGTTGCTGGGCAGGGTGACGTGGCTGCATTCGGTTGGGTTTGCAGGGCTCCGTGGTTCTGCCTGCTTCCCGGTCCCGTGAGTCGCGCGGGCGCACCGCAGCTCAGCTGCACCCGTTTCCCCTTTGCGGAGTTCTGCTTGTGACTTGTTTGCCCGGCTGGACTTCGTTGTCAAGTTCAGCTCCTGGGGGCTTCGGCCCCCTTTCTGCCTCCTCCTGTGCGCCTCTCTTGCTCCTTGGCTGGGGATGCGTCTCGGGGTGCCCTCCCCCTCCCTCCCTCGTGCGAGAAGTGCTTTTCCCGTCCTCTGGCGCTGGGTGTTGCTGGGAAGAACCCGGCTGACCCGGAGTTTTCCTCCCCTTGGAACGGATTTCCTACCAAGTTTGTTCCTCGATCCTTGAACTGAAGACGAGGCTAAGCGGTGCCTGGGCGTGCGGGCTTCCGCAGCGTCTCCCAGACACGTTCTGCTTGCTTTCGGGAGGACTGGCTGTGTCACGCGGCGCCGAAATGCTGCCCCTGTCCCTCCTCCCCACCCCCACCAGGCCTCCAGCCTGCCCCTGTCCCTCCTTCCCCCTACGTGGATGCCTGCACCCTGCCCTTGTCCCTCCTTCCCCCTAGTGGGTGCCTGCACCCTGCCTCATGTCCCTCCTCCCCCTATGTGGGTGCCTGCACCCTGCCTCGTCCCCTCCTCCCCCTCCATGGGTGCCTGCACGCTGCCCCGTCCCCTCCTCCCCCTCCGTGGGTGCCTGCACCCTGCCCCGTCCCCTCCTCCCCCTCCGTGGGTGCCTGCACCCTGCCCCGTCCCCTCCTCCCCCTCCGTGGGTGCCTCCACCCTCCCCGTCCCCTCTCCGTCTGCCCCGCCGGCTGTCGCCCTCTCCCCGCGCTCACGTCTGCCCGCTCCTCTGCTCTCACTGAGTTCGTGGGTTTAACTGGTGCTGTTTCTGCTGTGGGAGTCCTTGCAGTGGTGCGATGTTTGTCATCTGTTTTCTTGGCTCTGAGAACCCCTTCCCGTCTCCTTGGTTGCTTCCTCATTTTCAAGACCTTCTCTCAGTGGATTCTTGCTCTCACTCCGCTCCATTTCATGGCCTGAAATATTTACGAGAAATAGGTGTGTTTTTGTGTGTTTCCTGGCAGACTGAGTTCTCTTTGGTCTGATGTTTCTTTCTGTGTTTTAAAAAGATTTGTTTATTTATTTATTCAAAAGGCAGAGTGACAGAGAGGAGAGAGGAGAGAGAGATCCATCTTTTGTCTGTTGATTCAACTCCCCAGATGTCCACAACCGCCAGGGCTGTTCTAGGCCAAAGCCTGGAGCCCAGTACTCCCTCTGGGGGTTCCACGTGGGTGTCCGGGCCCCACCGCGTGGGCCGTCAGCGCTGCCTTCCCAGATGTGTTAGCAGGAAGCTGGATCGGAAGCAGAGCAGGAGGGACAGGAAGCATGACCTGATAGTGAAGGCGGGCATCGCGAGTGGTGCTTACCCCACGTGCCACCGCCCCCTGCTTCCCCGGGTGCAGAACCGTGACCTTTGTCCTGTGTGGGCCCAGGACGAGCCTCACCGTATACAGGTGACAGCTGTCTGAGCTTCTCGCCGCTCTGTGCCTCTGGCCGCCCCTGGTCTCGTGCTGGTCCGAGCCTCTGTGCACAGCTGCCAGGGTTCTCCGGGAATTACGCCAAGGGGTGTGGCTGCTCACGGGGTCGTAAAGAGCAGGTGCCGTGGCTGCAGCTGGCAGTGCCGGGGGGTCTCCCCCGAGGGAGCTCGTTGCACCCACGCCGGCACCGGGTGTCTCGACTCTCGGGCCTCTGTCTTTCCCCGTGCAGAGGCAGTGGGACCCGCGTCGCCTGCCGTGCTTGGTTCCCTTTTGGCTGATGCAGGGAACCGAATTTTGTATTTTGCAACTGTTGTTTAGAACATTCTTTTTTATAAAGGAGAGTCTTTGCCTCCTTTTTTTTTTTTTTTAATTTGACAGGTAGAGTTATAGACAGTGAGAGAGAGAGACAGAGAGAAAAGTCTTCCTTCCGTTGGTTCACCCCCCAAGTGGCTGCTATGGCCGGTGCTGCGCTGATCCGAAGCCAGGAGCCAGGTGCTTCTCCTGGTCTCCCATGGGGTGCAGGGCCCAAGCACTTGGGCCATCCTCCACTGCCTTCCTGGGCCACAGCAGAGAGCTGGACTGGAAGAGCAACCGGGACTAGAACCGGTGCCCATACGGGATGCCAGCACTGCAGGCGGAGGATTAGCCAAGTGAGCCACGGCGCCGGCCCCAGAACATTTTGTTAAAGTAGATCCATGCCTAACAAATTCTCGATGAGTACCTGCTGCGAGCTGAGGTGTGCCTCGTTCTAGGTGCCCCGCAGCTGTAAGACGGACGTGGCCTCTGTCTGCTCAGGGACAGGGTGCCAAGCGGCAAGCACAGTTGTAAGTGGAAGTGCTTTTCAGGGGGTGACGTAGAAGCACAGGGTCTCATGGGAGCAAGGAACAGCAGGGACTGCTTTAGACTGGGGATCAGGGAAGTGTTTTAGAAACTCACAGTGGGGGCCGGCGCTGTGGCGTAGTGCGTAAAGCTGCCGCCTGCCGTGCCGACATCCCATGTGGGTGCTGGTTTGAGTCCTGGCTGCTCCACTTGCCATCCAGCTCCCTGCAGATGGCTTGGGACAGCAGTGGAGGATGGCCCAAGTGCTTGGACCCCTGCACCCACATGGGAGACCTGGAAGAAGCTCCTGGCTTTGGCCTGGGCCACCCTGGGCCATTGTGGCCATCCGGGGAGTGAACCAGTGGGTGGAAGCTCCCTCTCCCTATATCTCTCCTTCTCTCTCTGTAACTCTGACTTTCAAATAAATAAATAAATCTTGAAAAAAAATAGAATCTCAGTGTATACAGATGGAAAATGGGTGCACCTTTTGCGTGTCCAGCAGCAGTCTGACGGCTTACCACATCCTGTGTGGAGGGTCTGGTGTTGGGGCGCAGGGGTGCAGCTGCTGCTGTGACGCTCAGCCCATCCCCCGGTGCTGGTCCAAATCCTGGCTGTTCTGCTTCTGATCCAACCTCCTGCCGATGTGCCTGGGAGGCAGCAGACGCTGGCCCACGTGCTTGGAGCCCCGCCACCCCGTGAGACCCACGTGGGGCTCCTGCTCCTGGCTTTGTCCTGGCCCAGCCTTGACTGTCGCTGCAGCCATTTGGGGGGTGAACCAGAGAAGAGACGATCTCTCTCTCTATGTCTCTCCCTCTATCTCTGTTGCTTTGCTTTTCAAATAAATAAATATTTTAAACATAAAATGAAAGACTTATGCAGATTCACGGCGGTTCTCAGGGAAACGTTTTCGTGGCATATTGTTAAATGGAGAGAACATTCGTCAAATCCGAAAATACAGTATGATTCAGTCTGTGTAAGATTGTCACACACGCTTCTGTGGCCGCGTTGGAAGTTCCTGGGGCACCAGGTACAAAACTGGGTGCTGAGGCTGCCTGGTGTCTGCATTTCCTGTACGTTGCTGAACTGCTTACACTTCAAAAAAAAAAAAAAAAAAGTCTCGTGTTCGCTTTATATTCGCTAACAATGACCACGGAGATTCCGGAAGCTGTGCGCCTCTCAGGCAGGATAGCTGCTCCACTCCCACGTTCTTGGGAAGCTCTCGGCGGCCCCAGGAGGGCTGTTTTGGACGCCGGAAGTCGTTCAGATGTTGAAGATGGAGTCCTTGCCGCAGTGAGCACACAGAGACCCCGCTCCGTGCCAGGCCCCGCCTCTGTCCGTGTCTCCCGCCAGGCGCTGTGTCACGTGCGGCCCACCTCCCTGGGCGGATGACGGGAACATTTAGCTGCATTTTGGGTTTATTTTAAACAACTTTTTAAAACTCTTGGATCCTTTCTAAGAGGCTTTAGGTTTCTAAATATGTTTAAAGATTTTCTTTGGCCCATTTGGATTTCCAGTAATTCTGTGCACATTAGGGACATTGTAGTCCATTCATGGTCGGGGGTTCTTGTGTAACTACATGTTCCCCACGTTCCAGCAGCGTCCCCTTCAGGGTTTTATTTGTTTGTGTTATTTATTTATTTGAGAGGCAGAGAGTGTGAGAGCGCTCATCCACTCGCTGGCTCACTTCCCGTGCACCTGCTGGGGTCCGGGACCCCCGTCCCCGTCCCAGGCCCCCCACGTGCGTGGCCTCAGTACTGGAGCCTTCGCTGCTACCTCCGGGAACCTGGGTGCAGGGGCTGGAGCTGGGGTTGCAGCGGGGGTGGGGGGTCTGGACTGCCAGGCTGAGCGCAGCCTTCGCGGGGTCACCTTTCACACGACTTGTTGGGTGCTCTGTCTCCTTTCCAGTTAGCTGGAGACACGGGGTGCAGACGAAGTCGGATGGCTGGAAATACGGGAGAATATTGTTATGACTCAGTAACAGCCAGCAGGAAACCTTTGTCGATAAAACCAGTCTTTACGGTGTTTTTATGCGTCATATGGAAATCAGCAGTTAACCTGCTTTACTGCGTTTTAGAAATCCCATAAGCCAGGCTCTTCACACACTTTTTTTTTTTTAATAATTCCTTCTTTTAAAAAAAACAAAAAGAAATGCCCAGTGAATACCATCTCTGTGCAAACCTTAAATTAATAATCGTCCCTGCTGTCAGAGCTATTTCGGTGTGTGTCAGTGTCTCACCAGCCTTTCTGTCTGATTGGCCTGACTTCATCGGGAGCCACACGGCGTGGGCTCGCGGTGGGGGGGCCGGGAGTGTGGTAAGGAAGATGTGTCGAGCTGGATCCGCCCCGTATTTTAGCTCTGAGATGTGAGGTGGCTCTATCCTCCGTGTGTTCCCCCGAGAAACGTGCCTGCCTGTCAGTTGCGTCGCTGAGCCTGCGCCTGCGCCTGCAGTGGGGTAGAGCTAATCAATTAAACATCTGAGGCTCAGCACCTGCCACCCTCACCTTTTTGATCAGTTTTTGGAGGGGAAACGGGCGGCGGTTTCGGTGGCAGTGACGTGGCCGGCCAGCCTCTGCGAGGCTGGTTCGTGTGGGCGCAGCTCTGCTTCTAATTCGTTGCAGCTTTCCAAGTCCTATGAGAAGATCGAGAAGGCCCTCAGCGCGGGGGACCCCTCGAAAGGCGGCTTCGTGTCTCTGACCTACCTGAAGGTTGTCCTCGACACCTTTGTGCACCACTTACCGAGAAGAGTTTTTATCCAGTTGATGAAGAGGTAAGAATCCCATGGTTTCTTCCGGACGTTTTCCCCCGAACACTGAACGTGAGGCTACGGAGCAGCCTCGTTCATTCTTCATTATTATTGCTTTAGGTGTTTTACTATTGCGCCTTACAGACACACACACAAGTAGGGAGCACGTAGGATGCACCCAGCAGCGTGCCCTGCACCCGGCCTCGAGAGCTCGCCGGGCCGGCCCCGTCCTGGCCTCCCTGCCACCGAACCAGATGCCAGGGCCGCGCTCCCGCAGGTCCCTCTGAAGGGCAGGAACTCGGTAGAAGACGGTGGGCCTCCGGGTGCGCATCCAGTAGGGCCTCCAGCGAGCTCAGTACACACGCGCCCAGGCAGTGCTTGGCCGCCGTCCCCGGTGCGTTTATCTGAAGCCAGGGCCCCGGCTCAGGGCCGTCCTCGCGTTCCGTCTGCCACGGCTCCCCTCAGCCCGCGGGCCGCGTGCTTCCCCGTCCACCTGCTCGGCCAGGAGTGTGGACGCTCCGTCACGTGCAGCTTCTCACGCTGTAGACCTGGCTGACCACAACGCGCGGCCACTTACCGTGGCCCCCATCTCCCACCCCTACCTCCTGCCCTAGGGATTTGGTTTTCTTGGTGAGAACACCTCGGGTGGCGCGCACACGGGCGGCTCGCTCTGCTCACGATGGTGCCCCGGTGGCCGCGCTCGGCCCGTTCCCTCGCGGGGACCGGGTGATGACGCTTGGTGTTCCGTGCCTCGTCTGCGTGTGACCGGCCAGCTCGCGCTCCGTGCACGGCTCTGTACGGGGTGCGGGGAGTATCTCTCCACGTGTCTCCACGTGAGCGGCGCCGGCGGTCAGACCGGGCACTCTCCGCTCACCTCTCTGTTCGCGTGGCTTCTGCTCCGGCGGAATCCTGGACGGTGAAGACCCTCCCTCCCCGGCAGTACGTGAAGGCCGGGTGTGCGTCGTCCCGAGCCTTCCCTCGCCGCTTCTACCAAGGTGCTGGGGCTCCCTAGCGTCCCCCGAAAGTGAGCAGGGGGTGTTTCTTCTTAGTTACTCTCAGAGACTCCCAAGTTTAGATGCACCTGGGGGTTTCGGTCCGTGTCAGTTACAGCGCCCATTGTCCAGCCCTGGCCGGTGGGAGCCTGTCCCGGCCAGCTCCCGCGTCCTGTTGAGGTGGCCCGTAGAGTCTTCGGTAGCTTTCTGATAGCGCGAGATGTTTCCGGCTCACCTCGTCTGTCTCTGGCCGAGCCCTCGCATCAGCCGTTCCTCCCAGGGTCCCCGGTTCCTTTCAGTAGACGAGGAGTCCGCTCCTTAACCTGCCTCGCTTCTGTCCAGGCAAGGCAGACGGGCTTCCCTCGGGAGCCGGGGTGGAAGCCGACGGAGAGATGGTGCTGTGCGACTCGGGGTACCTGGTCGACACCGTGGGGTTCCCCGGGAAGCAGAGGCACGGGGAGAGTGGAGGGGGAACAGCAGGGGCTGGGACCGTGGGTCTGTGCCAGCCACGTGGCTCCGCTTCCCTTGCCAGACCTGTGTGTCCACAGAGAGAGTCACGTGACCTGCGCGGTGAAGGCAGGGGCAGGCGTTGGCACAGTGGCTGAGACGCCGGCTGGGATGCCCGCGTCCATGGTGGAGCGACCGATTCCAGTCCCGGCTCCACTCCTGGTCCCAGGAGTGCAGGCCCCGGAGGCCGTGGTGAGGGCGCAGGTGACGGGGCTCTGGTCCAGGCTGGCCAGCCCCAGCTCTTCAGCGTTCGGGGAGTAACATGAACAGACAGGAGGGTCAGCCTCTCCTTCTCCCTCTCTTTCCCCATCTCCCGGAACCTCCCCTCCCTGGAGCCAGGACTCAAACCCGGGTACCCCGATGTGGGATGCGGGCACCCCAAGTGGCGTCCTCACCGGCCACTGCTCTTGGGTGAGCTCCCGGCAGCACGCGGACCCCCGTCCAGTCGTCCCGTCTCAGCGCCGTGAGGGTGCTTCCGCGGCGGCCGGCCCCTCTGTCGTTCCTTTCCTGTGTCGCTGAGCCGTTTGCCTGCCTGTGTCTTGGTGCAGGTGCCTGCTCCGGCTCCCTGACTCAGGCTGCCCCGCTCCAACGGTTGGTGTCTTTCATGAGTTCTAGAACGTTCTCGCTGCAGCTCTGCTGTTTCCACCCTGCCCGCACTGGCCTTTTTCTGGAGCTCCCGTGTCTGGCCCTTGTCATTCAGCCCGCCGTCTGGGGCTTATGCACCCCGTGTGGCTCCCTCCCTGGGGCTGCGTCAGGGCTGTCTCTGCAGGGCCTGCCTTGGCTCGCTGGCTCTCTGCAGTTGGTCTAACTCTCCTCCCAGTCCCGTACCATCCAGAGCCATCCAGCCCCAGCCAGACTGCCACACCCCCCTCCCCCGACCTGTGTTCAATCTCAGGGCCCCGCGGGCACGCCCTTTGCCGCGCAGGCCTGGCCAAACCCTGGCACCGTGGGAACAGCTCGACTCTCGCTGCCCCTGACTTGGGCCCTCGCTGCATCTCTGTCCCTTGGTGACAGAGAATCCCTCCGCCTGCAGGTCCACGTCAGGGCCTCTGTGTGGGGGGACCGGGGCTGGGAGGCCCCCTGTGGTATCAGAAGGCTTCTTGACGCGTTAGTGCCCCTGTGGGAAGACACGAGCCGACCCTGTGGGGTGGATAGGACTGCCCGACACGAGTGAGCTGGAGAAAGACACTCCGTCCAGAGAAAGCCAGGGACCCGCTCCTTAGGTCTTGTTTCTGAAAGTCGGGGTGTAAGGCCGGAGTGTCCGTGCTTTTGTGAAAATCTATAAAGATTTTACCTGAAAATCTACAGATTAGTTATATACATTTATGGGGCAAAAAGTGCTGCTATGACTGATGAATATGAGTTGGAATAATAAAATCGATCTAATGAGCCGTCTGACACTTCCAAAGATGCTGGTTTGGTTAGGTCAAGATCAGTGTAGAATTACAGGCAGAGAGAGGAGAGCCGGAGGGAGAGGTCTTCTGTCCGCTGGTTCACTCCCCAGATGGCCGCGATGGCCGGAGCTGCACCGATCTGAAGCCAGGAGCTTCTTCCAGGTCTCCTACGTGGGTGCAGGGCCCAAGCACTTGGGCCGTCTCTTACTGCTTTCCCTGGCTACAGCACAGAGCTGGATTGGGAGAGGAGTAGCTGGGACTAGAACCGGCGCCCATATGGGAGGCCAGTGCCTCAGGCAGAGGCTTAGCCCACTGGGCCACAGTGCTGGCCCCCCTGTGTCTTTAATCTTAAAGGCCACACTGACTGACTGTCTCCCCGTCGTTTGGATCCTGTTCAGCCAATCAGTGGTTGAGCATTTCCTGTGTCCCGGGCACCCTGCTGGACGCCAGAGTTGCACAGGAGAATAAGACAGGCGTGGACGCTCCCCGCTGTCCCAGAGCTTCACCTGCTGGCAGGGAGACCTGCAGCAGACACACACATACACACACACACGTGCACACACACGAATGCCCACGACATGTGCGGTGCGGTGTGGTGAGTGCTCCAGAGAGAATCAGCGTGTGGGAGGAGCCGCTTCAGACGGGGGGCGAGGCAGCACAGGCAGGGCTGTGCCCTGGTGACGCATCCCCGGCCGGGCCACAGACGGTGCGCCTGGAGTGGAGCTGGTGGGAGGAGGTGAGAGGTGAGAGGAACGGGGAAGGGCCCGGTGAGGAGTTTTCGGGGTGGCTGCAGGTGCGCTGGAGAGGCCTTGGGGCCGCTGCCCCACCACTGCGGGGGTCCTGCAGGCCCAGGGGTCTTCATTGCAGGGGCTTCCCTCAGAGTGTGGGTCTAGACGTAGGCTGTGAGGCCAGAGTCCATGCCTTTGTGCAAGTCTTTCCCATTTTTTTATTTATTTTATTTTTTTTTTAATTTTTTTTTTGACAGGCAGAGTGGACAGTGAGAGAGAGAGACAGAGAGAAAGGTCTTACTTTGCCGTTGGTTCACCCTCCAATGGCCGCCGCGGCCGGCGCGCTGCGGCCGGCTCACCGCGCTGATCCGATGGCAGGAGCCAGGAGCCAGGTGCTTTTCCTGGTCTCCCATGGGGTGCAGGGCCCAAGCACCTGGGCCATCCTCCACTGCACTCCCTGGCCACAGCAGAGAGCTGGCCTGGAAGAGGGGCAACCGGGACAGAATCCGGCGCCCCGACCGGGACTAGAACCCGGTGTGCCGGCGCCGCTAGGCGGAGGATTAGCCTAGTGAGCCGCGGCACCGGCCTTTCCCATTTTTTTAAAAAATGTGCTTTTAATTGTAAATTGACAAACTATAGTTTATATATATACCTGATGAAATGCGGTGTTATGATTTCTGAATACAATGTGGAATAATAAAGTCAATCTAATTAGCATATTCGTCTCTTCATTTATCCTTCTCGTTAGGAGAACACTTGACGTTCACCCTTAGTGATTGTGAAACGCGGAGGAGCTCCACTGTTCTCGCTGCACTCAGGTGCTGTGCGCTATACCTCGTCCCTCCTGATCGGGGCGCTGTAGCTGCAGCCCGTCACCGTCCACTTCCAGCCCAGCTCCCCCAGGCGCCCCCCCCCCTGTAGCCACCGCCCTGCTGCCTTCAGTTGATTTCAGTTCCCTGTGAGAGCAGGCGGCGTCTCTATGCCTGAGTAATTTATTTTGTTTTTATTTTTTAAAAAGATTTCATTTATTTGAGAGGAAGAGTTAGAGAGAAGGAGAGGCAGAGAGAAACGTCTTCCATTTGCTGGGTCACTCCCCAAATGGCCACATCAGCCAGAGCTGGGCCCATCCAAAGCCAGGCAGGAGCCTCCTCCAGGTCTCCCACGTGGGTGCAGGGGCCCAAGCACTTGGGCCATCTTCTGCTGCTTTCCCAGGCCACAGCAGGGAGCTGGATCAGAAGTGGAGCAGCCGGGACTAGAACTGCTGCCCGTAGGGGACGCCGGCACTGCAGGTGGAGGCTTTACCCGCTCCGCCACAGCGCCGGGCCGTACCATGTTTTCTTTATCCGTTCATCCACTGCTGGACAGTTGGGCTGTTTCCATGACGTGCGCTCCTGTGAGCATGC